AGGCTAAAAACTTCTTTGAAGTTGTAATTTCTCTATAAAGTAGTTATTAAATTAACTTGATCTTGCAGAGGTAGTAATTCTTGGGATGCACGTGAATGAAAGCCAATGAGACATGCTTATTATCAAAGGATACCGGCGAAAAGAAGGCCTAGATTACTTTGATATGTGATTACCAGTTATGGTGAGTGTGATTGCAATTGTATAAAGTCTGGAGATACATCAAGATAGATGTTCAGATAGCTTTCCTATATGAAGATTTAGTCAAATAAATCTTTATGGAAAAACCCTAAGAGTTTGTCAGTTCCAGGACAAGGAAAGACTGTAAGCTTGAGAATCATTTTATGATTTGAAATAAGCACCGAAACAATAGCATGAAAAATTTGGCTACACTGTGTTGTTAAGTGAGTATTGACAAATGTGTTTATGTCAAAGACATTGGCAACAATATATGTCATGTTGTGTCTATGTGTAGGTGACATACTCTTTATTGGTAGTTATGAAAAGATATTCAATATTACCAAGTGGATGTTGTACTCTAAGTTTGATATAAAAGATGTAGGCTTTGCAAATGTGATTTTGAGCATTAAGATTACCAGAACATCTAGTAGTACTGTACTTTCTCAACCTCATTATGTTGATAAGATACTTAAGAAATTTAGTAAATCAGATACAAGTGTGTCTAGGACACTAGTAGACTTGAGTCTACATTTTGGCCGAGAATAATGGTGAAAGTGTATTTCAGCTAGAATATTCTCGAGTCATTAGAAGTTTAAGTATCTGATGAGTTGTACAAGGAAAGTACAACCTACTCAGTTAGTAGGCTTAGTAGATAGACGAGTAATTCTAATGCTACTCATTGGAAGGGTATTATGCGAATGCTAGATTATTTACACTACACCCGGGATTGTTGCATAACACTTGATATCCAGTTATACTAGAAAGATACAAAGGCGTCTACTGGATATTTGATATAAAGACTACAAATCCATTAGTGGATATGTTTTCTCTAATTGGAGCTGTAACCGTGTCTTGGAAATCTTCCAAGTAGATGTGTATCACAAGATCAATGGCGGAATTGGAATTTAGTATTAAAGTAGCTAAATGGCTTTGCCGTTTTCTAGAGGATATTTCATGTTGATCAAATCTTGTGCTAATAATTTTCTATACTTTACGACAACTAATCAAGTATTAGTAGGGCACAGATGAAAAGTCTATACATTTTTTTGTCGAAGATATAGTTTCATACGACGACTACTCTCGTGTGTTGTCACTATAGACTATATACAGTTTAAGAACAACATTACAAATTCGTTAACCTAAGAGTAAAATCGAGAGTCAGTAAGAAGTCTACGTGAGGAATGTGGTTAAGGCCTTTAGCAAATGTTACTGAAACGAAAAACCTAATTTGGTTGACTGGAGATCCTAAGATTTAGGTTCAAAGAGATAACCTAATTGCGTATAACGGGTGAGCCACTAACGAGGTAAATCCTCTTACCCATTTCTTTATACAGTGATATTCTGTGGAGTAGAAGGTTAAGCTGATAATTTTAATGACGTAAGTGCTATGAATAGTCAACCATGGTATACAAGATACCTTATGTAGGTCACCTATATAAGTGCGAAGTAGGGCCGCTTCTTTAAGAATTGATGAGGCCGAATTCTTTAAAAACATTCACTGAACCAGGCTAATGTTCCAGGGCTAAACCGGACACAACAGTGATAACAGAACGATGGTTTGAGTAATTTCTGTATGAGGTCTATTGTTTCGGTTTACACAAATGTCAGAATAGTTCAAGACATCACATTTATTGGTTAGCCAGTAAATCTGATAGGCTTTCACTATGAAAGGTTCAAGGCCAACGACTATTTTTTTTTTGATGCAGGGTTATTCTGTGTACTTTAGCGTTGTCTGTTTTTCTTTATTCAGCCAATTTTATTTATGTGGGGAGTTATTGGAGATAATGATTTTTCAATAACTTTAATTTGAAATTAAAGTGGGCCCAATCGTCCGTTAAGGTAAGTCTAAGTGATTTTATATTCTCTTAAGTGAAAAGATTAAAATATAAAAATAATTAACCGAAACTATTCAGTTATGAATGAGAATTGTCTCATAAAGTGGGCATCAATAAAGTTGGGCTTAGATTTGGACTTAATTTTGGTTTGGATTGGGCCTAAGCTTGTGCTTGTGCATATGCTGGGCTTGGTCTTGGTCTTGGACTTGGACTTGGACTTAATCTTGAACTTGGGCTTGTGCTAAGCTATGTTATATTGGGCTTAGCTTGTGCACGTGTGTGAGAATTGGGCTTGGATCGGGTTGTGACCAAACATTAGTATCCATTTTGTGATCTATCCAGTTGGTTTATTCAAATATCATTATATACATATTTATTTGTATATATTAAGCACATGAGAAATGTAAATTTTTGTAACTCTGATTTTTTGGTGATGAAGTTGATGATCATATTAATAGCCATAGGTTTTCAATCTTTGTAACTCTAGGCTTAATGGCTAAAGTTGATGGTCTTGGTTAATGGCATTTGATGGCTCTATTGATGTATGATCTTCATGGCTAGAGATTTCCCTATTTGTATAAATAGAGTCATTTCCCCTCCAACTTGGTAGAATAATTTTGGCGAGATTTTTGATGAAAAATTGAGATGATATTTTAAGATAAAAAATTGGAGATGTTTTTTTTTTTTTTAACACCAAAGAAATTTTTTCATATCTTCTTTTGCTAGTCTTTTCTTTGGTTCTTGTTAGAGAGAATGCAGTCATTGTCAAGTTTGCCAAAGCTATTTAAAAGGTGATTCTACATTAGTTGGTTTCAACCGTCGTATCTTGAGAGACAGAGGCCGACATACCTCCAACATCCACCAGGAGGCAGTGAATCTATTTTAAGAAAACTGTGGTATCACACAAGCTTTGGTTTACTTATTTTTTTATCATTTGTTCTTAAAATTTTTCAGAATTTAGGTGTCGTTTGGGAAGAGCTCATTTTGGCTCTTTTGGCTCTTTGAGCCACAAAAGACAGAATAGGCTATTTGAGCCACAACAGACAAAACGTTACATCCAATCCATAATCATTACACTCTTCTCTCACAAAAAAAGTCAAAAAAGCCAAAAAGCCCTTCCTAAACTAAGCTTTTGAGCCCAGGCTCAAATAGCCAAAAAAGTCAAAAAGCCAAAAAGCTAACCCACTTCCCAAACGGAGGCTTAGTTTACCTCGATGAGTTCTAATTTTTAATTATCCATGTTAATAATTTGTTCTATTAGTAATGTAATCTAATTTATTTCTACTCCCTCCTTCCCAAAATATTAGTCCCTTATTCCATTTTTCATTGTCCCAAAATATTAGTCCCTCTTCAAAAATCAAGTACAAAAATAATATAAATTTCCTATTTTGCCCTTCTTTTAAATTAATAAACAATATAAAAAGGACAATTATGACATTGATATTCTCAAAAAATACACTATCAAAAGGATAATTTTGGAAAATCAACTTTTTTCAAATGCAATAATTGTACTACCAAAAAAAGTTGGATTCCCCAAAAGGGACCATTATTTTGGGACGGAGGGAGTATAATTTTAGTTGTGTATTTATTCTGTATTTCATTCTTTAATATATATATATATAAATGATAAATTACAAATACACCTCCTGAGATTTGATTAAAATACGAATCGCTCCCTGTGGTTTTGAAAATTACATTCCACATCCTGAGGTTTCTAATTTCATAGCAAATTGTCCATTTTATTAATAAATCATCAAGTCAATTAACAGTTTTTAATGATGTTAAAAATATGTTTCAATTAATAATTTAGGTAATTTTATTATTGTATAGGAGAGCAATTATGAATTTTATTTTTTTAGTTAATTCTGTTAAATAAAAAATTCTAACAAAGGGGTATTTGTTATTTTTCAAATCACAAAGGACAATTTGTATTTTAAACAAATTTCAGGGGATATATTTGTAATTTACCCATAGAAAATGATTTTGTCATTTCTATTTAACATATTTTATATATTTTTATAGAAAAATACCAATAGAAAGTAAAACAAATAATTTTAACTAACATGTTACTCAACCTAAATTGAGCTTTGAAAGCAGCATCGCAACTAACCACCCAAAAATGACCTTCACAAAGTATGTAAGTTATGACAATGAAAATTGATGAAGAATATTTTTAGGTTCAAATCTTTCTTCGTCGAATTGCCAAATTTGGGCCCTCCATATTCTTCCCAAATACTCCAAAATTCAATCTAATTTTCATTAGGTCTTGTACCATTCATCCATAATTTAAAGCTAAAATAATTTTATTCTCCCTATGGAATGGCTATTTATTTACAATAGTGAATGACAATTTTATTTGAAATTATTTATTTATTTATTTATTACTATTATTATTTTTTTTTTGTAAATCAAAGGCAAGAACAAATATTATGATAGAATGATAAACATAGCATAGGCTAATCATGGAATCCTGCCTTGGCTGTGAGCTATGAACAAAAAAGTAGTCAAATATATAAGTACTATAAACATATAACTTTCTTTTTATACAGATAGTGCAGAGTGGGTACTTACCGATCAGTTTTATTTATTAGACTTATTTACTTATAAGTCCTGAATAATAAATTTATCACTATAAATTTATTTATAAAAACAAGAGAGGCTGATTAATTTATCACTTGATAAATTTATTAATAAGACTTTATCGATAATAAATTTCAAAAGTATGACATATTGGTATAATACCTTTGCATTTATTCTTGAGCGATGCACACTACACCAGTATGAATGCAGTGTGGTTCACATTTTTACGAAACTTGAAAATGGTAACTGCTCGAAGACCAGAATGTAACAATCTTTTATGAGCATGATTATAAGAGCCCCTACTCGCTAAAAATTGGACAAGAAAGGCATAGACGGGTCGACAACACAAGATAAGTAATAATAGAGCACACAACCATATAACAAGAGCTAGAGAAAGAGCATGAAATTTTACTGTCCAGCAGCAAAAGCCTCCACAGGAAATGTCTTGGTGATCCCTGCAAGGCTCTTGAAGTGGATTTTCCCGGTCGGTGGATCATCAACACTAATCTCGCTGACCGGGGGCCACAACACAAGCTCCTTGGCCTTCACACCCTTGAGCTTCTTGATTCTCTTCTTCTCCACATAGCCATGGATATTAGAGTCATAGCTCACCAGCTTGCTAATCGTCTTGAACTCGTGCTCGACTTGCTTTTCTTGAACAATCCACATGTACCCAGTACTCTTTACAAACCCTACTTCGATCACATTGACTAGAGGGAGGAGTCCCAAAGGGAGCTCAAACTCTTCTAGGATTGAAACCGCCATTTTTAGGCCATCTTCGTGGCCTTTCTTCACAATGCCACCTTCCTTTTCGGCCATTGCTAACTTGAATAGAGAAGAACTATGGTTTTGTTTTGGTTTGTGCTTTTCTAAGTGTGGTGGTGGGTGTATTTATATAAGTGTGATGCGAGGAAGTGAGTGGAAAATGGGGACAAATTTGATGGTAGAAACCAATGTGAATGTGCATTGTGCTTACCGTAAGATTATTTTTATGTGCCTAGAAATACTTGACATTTTGGCATCTTTTTACATATGAAATTTACTTGCCTAAACTTAATGTTTTAGTTTAGCTTTTCTTTTTTCTTTTATTGTTGATTTTTTTCTTTTCCATTTTCAATGAACTTTAAAAAATAAGAAATAAAAAACTCTTAAAAAAATTTACACTTCTGAATTTTACTCAATTAGATAGACCAGAAAAGTTCAAAATTAATAAAATTAAAAAAAAAAAAAATTGTCAAAAAGAATCAGACTTTTGGTGAATAGTGTTAACTTTTTAACTTTTTGAGTAACTTTTTGACTTTTTGGCTTTTTTGGAACATCCCAAACTTGGCCTTAATGTTTTAGTTTAGCTTTTCTTTTTTCTTTTATTGTTGATTTTTTTTTCTTTTCCATGTTCAATGAACTTTAAAAAATAAGAAATAAAAAACTCTTAAAAAAATTTACACTTCTGAATTTTACTCAATTAGATAGACCAGAAAAGTTCAAAATTAATAAAATTAAAAAAAAAAATTGTCAAAAAGAATCACCAAAAAATTGTTTAAAACAACAAACAAACAAACCAAGCCAAACCAAAAACAATTGAAAAAAGAAATTGAGTTAATCTAGCTCTCTTGATGGTATCGTCTTTCATTTATGAGTTTTCTCATGTATTTAATTAACTAAGGTCATGTTTGAATTTTAAATGGATATGGAAAAAATGAAAAGAAAAGTCAATAAAATCGAAATTCAATTTTGTTTCATAAATCTCTTCCCTTTCCTTTTCCATTCACAATTTGTTTTACAAATCTACAATCCACACAGTAATAACACACAGGAACATCAACAAACCAGTTTTCTGTACAGAAAGTTGCCAACAATGTTTACTATAGCATTCTGTAATCTGAGAATGCAAAAATATGCATATATATATATAATAAAAAAAAAAATCCCCCTCCTAGTTTTTCAATAATTAACGCATTTGAGTTAGTTTTCGTCAACCGCACACACTTATGCAAACAAAATAAAAAATTAAGGAAAAATACATACAAGTGGAATTTTGAAAAAATTATTACAAATTAAAGATAAATTTTATAATATTAATAATTAAAATTATAAATTTTTTCATCAATTTGTAATCATTTTAAACACCACTGATATGTATTTTTCCTAAATAAAAAACTATAAATAGTCTAATAAACTGTGCCAAACAAGATGACTGTCTTTTCTCAGTTGTTACTGCGGAATGATGTGATCGTTTTATTTGTGTACTAAGGTCTAGTTTGGGAAGACTAAATAAGTACACTTTTTGAATTTTTATGAAATATGGGTTGAATTTGGATTGGGTTTGAAGTGATGTGTTAGAGAGGTGATGTGACTTAAATAAGATGATGTGACTTAAATAAGATAGTGACTTTTTAACTTTTTGTCTTTTTTGTCTCATGCCAAACTTGGCCAAATTAAAATCATCTCAATGGGCCGTTTGATCTAAAATCATAGAATCACTACTCTTTAGCCTCAAGGAGGTGTTTGGATCTTGAGCTTGTGAAAGAAAAAGACAACAGAAAAACAGATGACAACAAAAGCTATGTTTGTATTCTCAAATCAATTTTCTACGTATGTTTTGGAACATGATGTTTGGTTACGTTTTCAAATCAATTTTCTACACTCTCTGCAGAGAACTCTGTGCACACAGGTGTGTTTTCTGTCCAAAGGAAGACCACCCGGTAGACCACCCGGATGTCCACCCAGATGTCCGGCTGATTTCCAGATTTTTTTTTTTGCAATTGATTTACATAATCGGGACAAATATTTTCTGAAAATTTTTAAATTTTTTATGTGCTTTAAAATAATTTTGAATTGTATATTTAGTTATGAGTTGTAAATTTTTGTATCACATATCAAATGTCACATCAATAATTCCCCACTCAAATCAAACCTCTTTTCCAAAACTATTTTCAAAACTCTTTACCAAACAAATTTTCTACACTCAAATCATAATTCCACAACACACAAACTCAAAATACAACTCATACTCTCAAATCACATTTACAAAACTCTACCAAACGCTACCTAAATTTCTCTTTTTATTTTCCTCTACAAATCCAAATCCAAATCCAAATTCAAATGCAAAATCCAAACACAACACAAAAGTCAATAGTTAAATGAGAAAAATACGGCCTAAACCTTTGGCATACTCATTCCAAGGATGAAAGGATCTCAACAAGCTTCGATTGGGCAACCGTAGCTCTGACTCTTACCAGCTATTTCACATAATTTCTCTGCACTAAACCCCACCGACCCACCAACCCAGAGAATAGTTCCAAATTCGAAGATCAAAACAACACAGAAGCATCTTATCTAATTATACAATTTCATGACAAAGTTTCAAAGTGAAGAAACAATTTTATCAGAGCAGTATTTGGAAGCTTTGAGAATGTTCAATTCCAATCATCCAAGCATCAATTCTTTCAAATTTCCATTAAAATTCAACAATCCATAAGATACATTGCATATTCTGTTATTACCGGAGGGGCCCTAAACTCCCAACATTTTTTCATGCACCACTTGCATATAGACGGGTCCATTCCTTTGCTGCAAGGTTCAAGAAAACAGAACCCAGTCAAAATCGCAATCATTCATAGAAGAAATTTACTGTGTAACTGTCACTGTCAAAGAACCATATCATTGTTTGGTTTGGTCAACATTGCAAAAACGAACTACCAAGATACCTGTTTCAACAGCTTCAGCTTCATTCGATTTCCAATGCTTTGCAATGTTCTCAGATAGTGGATCGTCTGGATTTGGAGCACTCAAAAGTGCTTGAATACTACAAAAGTCAAAAACAATCAAACAATATCAACATCAGTTAATTTTTTTATCAGCAAAATTATTTGAACTTAAACTAGGGTTCCCTTGGGATTTGAATAAAATACATTGAGCACACAAGTTTCGCTTTAATCTTACTAAAAGAGAAGTAATTATGCTAAACTTGTGGGACTTTTTTTATTATTATTTCTTTTTTCTAAATCTGACGGGTGGTGGGTGTAATTCAACGTGTATCATCAGGAATTCCACCATTCATAACTTCAAGCGGGAACTACTACTACTATAACAAGAACATGAAGGGCTTTGCTTCCTTACTAGAGGATCACAAACATTGTTACCTCAAGAGTACGGTTCGAATCTGAAGAGCGGGACTCCATTTGTCCTTGAGAATATCGAGGCATATCCTACCAAGCTGCATTCAAAGAAAGAATAGTCTGTAAGCGGCAAGAAACATTAAAAATCTGAAACCTTAGACAAGAGTGTGGTAGCAGGCACATCCAACCTTATCAATGTTAGGATGGTAGATTTTGGTGAGGAATCGAACCTGCACAAGGATAATATGTGAAGGATGACTATGTCAGTCAATGTGCTGAGCAAAAAACATCATTGTATACAAGTGAACAATAACTCCATCAATAGGACTCCACACGCACGATAATTCCACCAATAACACTAGAAATGCAAGTGCACAAGCCTGAAACAGCCATCGCAACTTATGGACACCAATGTTGCAAAATCATGGAACTAGTCCATAATGTGTGACGCAATAAAAATGTTGAGATGGAAGACTAGCAGGAGAAGAAAGGGCAAATCAAATGAATATTTTTATAAAATAGACCTAGAACCAGTTGAGGACAAGATGAGAAAGCGCAGAGAAATATGCGATGAAGACCAATAAGACCGGTAATGCTAAGAAATTCAAATTGAAAGAGGAACAAGTCCCACAATATAGCCCAAAAGAAAGCAAAACAATAAAGACTTAAAGCCAACCCTGACCAATAAGGTTAAGGACCTTTCTAGATGACAACCCTGACACAATTCCAGTGTTTGGCATGGATTGGAAGAGAAAAGTGATTCTTGACTTAAATACTCAAAGCAAGAATCATTTTCCTAAATAAAGTACGAATCTTATTCCCTCACTCTCCCGTGTCAATCTCACATCCCTAGAGAAATGTAAACAATTTGAGCCAAAAAAAAAAGTTACGCACACAATATTCAAAATTTTATTATTTTCCATATAGAATTCCTAATGAAACCATTGACAGAATAATTTTATTCATAGTAATGAGATTCCATTCTCCCCTAAGGTTCCTGCCATCCAAACATATCCTTCATGGAATCCAGCCAAAACCCTAACCACAAAATATGGGACATATCTCTAATTCTAAATATAGCATGAACAATGTGCATGTGAAACAACAAAAGGGAACTGGCAGTGTCCAAAACCTAAATATGGCAGGAACAGTGTACAGGGCAAACAACAATATCAAATTGGACATTCAAATCTTTGCACCATAACAAGTGATTATGACATTTCATTTCTTGTTGAGATCAACAAAATAAGTATATTAAAATAACAGTCATATCAGCTGTTAATTAGTATAACCAAAATTTCAGGTGTGCCACCAATCCTACAATATTGTGTTATCATGTGGTTGGCCAATATCAACGGGAAAAAAGAATGTAAACCAAAGACATCATAATTTGGGAATAATAAAACAAATTCCCAGATCTCACCCATTAGTAGTGCATGCACAAAAAGTTAATGGATGCAACACACAGACAAGCACAAAATGAACAATATCCACACGACACTTTCAAACGCATTATTTTGACTGAAGCTGGAAATTAGGATAAAATCCAGAGCAGGAAAGCAAAAGCCTACATTTTGCCAAGAACATCCTTAAAAGGTTCAAGTGACAACAAGTACAAAAGTAAACATGCACATCCAGTCATCATTTCAAGTTAGGAACACAATACAAAACTATCAACCATATGAACTCTCACATAAATTTAAAAGCAGACCCATCAAGCAAAATGATTTATGTTGTCAGTGAGCAGGGATGGCACTGTGCGACAGTAGGGGGCTATGGTCCCCCCACTTTCACAGAAAAATCCCATTACCTATCAACCACATTTACCTACAAGAAGAAAAAATGTACCTACCTCAAATCTGTTTATCATCAATTCATTCTTGTAGCATTTTCTTAGTCAGTTAAAGCATACAACCACAAACAGTGAGAAAAAGCAAAAAAATGCGGCAGAAAATATTTGAAAACTCTGAAGACTGAAAGGGGAAAAAAATATTCAAAATATAGAGTCCCCCACATACATATTTAGAAGTTGAAACACAAAGGTTTTGACCTTTCGTCAACAATTCAATGGTCTTACAATTTGCCTAAAAAATGTGCAACAGCTTTTTGAAAGTCGGTAACAATGCATCAAAAGTTGCAGAGCAGAATCCCAATCTTCTTGCTTCCCAGCTTCACTTTCCGAAACATGATACACTTTTGTTCCAAAACAGTAAACTTGGCAATCGAAAGCAATCCCAAAAGTTTTTCTAATATGTTTCCTTCAGGTTTCCTTGGGACTTAAAAATAAAAAATCAAATATAAATTTGGTCAGGAAAAAACTACAATTTATTGGATGTCTAATTTTTTTTTTAAATAAAAAAAAAATACTCTATAGACTAGTAGTACCTTAAATTCTTATAGTATGAATTATATAAGTCTATGCCTATCGTACCACAATTTAAAGCATGTGACATACCGCGTTCCCGCATCACGTTCTAGGTAACATAGATTGAGATAGTAAGTATCTTAGCTTATAGAAAAGGTTTCATTCAGAATAGAATAATTTCATAGAAGGTAGGCTAAAAAAAAATCAAATATACATACCCAGATACAAATTGAAATAATAGACAACATCTACAGATAAAATATATCAATACCACGTACAAAATGGTTGAGCAAAACCATACTAAAAGCAAAGTTTATAGATGCCCAATGCCCATCAAAACAAAATAGTTCATTTGGCTAAGATGTAGGTCAGTTAGGCAATATTGTAAAAATTCTAAGAGAAGTTGGCACAAGTTACCACTAACAGGGATATGCTAAACACACAGCATAACCAAAATTTCCAACTTGGCAGTTAGCAGTAGATCAAATATGCAAGAGCCCCACATTTCCCCCACAAAACAATTCAAGTATTCAACAAATAAACTAGCATGATTTCAAAAAAGAAACATTTACAAAAACAATCAGATCAGATGCAAATCATGCAATTTTTCCCATGACTTCTGTAAAAGTTTTCAGTATAAAATATATACAATTAAAAAGTAAAAATAAAAGGGTCCTGCTAATGCCCACCCAATGGCTGTTCGTTAAGAAGCAAATAAAAAAATTTACAATTTCAATACATATTTCAAATGTTCCCACACTTTTATATTTTCATACACTTCTCACATATTTCAATACGTTTTTTGCACACATATCAGCATTAATCACCGCCCATTGGGGGGCAGTGGTTAGCATTTCCCACAATAAAAATCACACACAAAAAAAAAAAAAAAGGCCTATGATAACAACTATTTAATATTGAATTATGCAACTAAGTAAAACAGCTAACAGATACTAATGCCCCAACAACCAAGTTCCTCATATCCTCTCGAAACCAAGCAAATAAAGCAATTCACGCCGTACAAAACTTTACAAGTAATAATATTTAACTGCTGAATTTTTTCCGTTAAAAATGGAATACCTTGGGAGCAGCCATTGGGTATTCTTCAGGTAAAAATAATTCCAGCTTGAAAACCCCTCCTACACAAAATGCATTACAAGAGAAATCGTTGAATCAAATATAAATAAAGATGATAAAAGTAGGGAAAACATATAATGAAAAAATCAAAATCTTGAAACCCTCCCCTACAAATTGGCCCACTGTCAAGGCAAAATATTTTCAGTATATCTTCAACATTTTAATGCACATAAAAAATAAATTGAAAGCCAAGAAGTTTAAAATTCACAAGGTCCAATACATCAAGTCTCCATTTGCTCACAAAGTGAAAAATAAAATAAATTAATTTAAAAAAAATTCTAACACTTCCACAAATTCTCGATTTTCCAATAAAATTAGAAAAAGGGTACAAAATTACAATTTTGACCCAAAAAAACAAAATACACCACGCAACTGAGCCTAATGCAATCATCTAGCTTAGTTGAGGCAAGTTTTTCACTATTTAACAACTAAACGACATCACGCAAGAGAACCAAAAGACAAACTTTTTTGTTATTTTGCCAATCATCTCAATAGTCCAAAGCATCTAAGAAACAACTTTAAAGCTTCCTTAAGTTGGATTCATTCTAACCTGAGGCTCTGCTTTAGCCAAGAAAACATAGAAAATGATTAAAAATCACACTTTGGATTGCTGATACAAATATCAAACTTAACTGAGTCAAAATTTTCCCCACTCCACAATTAAAACAACATAAAGTAAAAGAACTTTAGGAATGAAAAATAACCGTCTTTCCCACAGTATTATGGATAATAAAATGGCGGTAAGTGTTATGTACATGACGCTTAAACATTAACCAAATCAATGCTGAACAATGTGATCAAATTCACGAGTGTTCATCTCTAATGACAAAAACACCAGCAACACAAAATAATCTTGAGCTCATTACCTTCATAAGGAGACTGTGATGGACCAAGAATCATGACATTAAAATACCGCATATTATCTTCCGAAGGTGATGCACTTATTCCCGGTGCTGTAGCATAAGAAGAAGATACCAAATGACTGACAGTTCAAACTCACAATAATACATTTTTGCAACACAAAATAAAGTTCATTTCTTGCATTTCCAATCAACAAAGAATTCTTAAATCTCTACTTATCTCACCAAAAAGAAAACAACGAAATAGATATATCAGATTCTAAAATTCAAACACAAAATCACAAGCGCGCGCGCACACACACACACATATATATATATAGAGAGAGAGAGAGAGGTTTTTACCAGGCTCGCTGAGGAGACGCTGAGTTTCCTGTTAGATCAGAAGGAAAGAAAAGGATCAAAACAAGTAAAATCATGAAAATCGAAGCAAAAGCAACAAAAAGCTAGCGAATTCGGAAATCGGAAGGAATGAATAAAAAGAGAGAAATCGAGTGAATTGATATAGGGATCGAGAGAAGAAGAGGAAGATCGAGACTCATACCTTGATGATTCTTCGAGGCAAATTGCTGTTTGCCATTGAAGGGAAGGTTCGATTGAAGGGCACGCTAAGGGTTTGCGAAAAAGAATAGAGAGAGAGAGTAGAGAGAGAAAGCTGTTTGTTAGAGAATTTCTCACTTGAAAAAACTGCGTCAGGGGTTCGATCGAATTTTTCGTTTATTCGTTTATTGCCAATATTATATGTAAAAATATTTTTATCATTTGCAAATTGGGGCCTCCTTTGTGCGAAAGTGATGATTCATAGGTCCTGTTTGGAAGAGTTATTTAGGCTAAAATAGTTAATAACAATAAAATATGTTAAAATAATTAATAAGATAAAATATCACATTCAATTTATAATTATTTTACTCTTTTTTTTCATAATTATCAAATCAACTATTTTCTCAAACAGAATTTTTTTAGCCAAATTAAAATAGTAGTAAAAAAATCAACTAAAATAACTAATTTTCCACACAAGGTCATAAATAAATAGTAATAAAATATTAATTATACTTTTTACCTTTATAGTTTCATTTAAATTTCACTTTAATTCTTTTTTTTTTTTTTTTGAACAATTTGGTTCTTTCATTTTATGTTCAATTTCAATTTTAGTATTTCATATAATTTTTTAGAGTTAATTACATTTTTTACCCTAAAGTTTGTTTTAAGTTTCACTTTCTTTTTTTTATAATTATCAAATCAACTATTTTCTCAAATAGAATTTTTTTAGCCAAATTAAAATAGTAGTAAAAAAATCAACTAAAATAACTAATTTTCCACGTAAGGTCATAAATAAATAGTAATAAAATATTAATTATACTTTTTACCTTTATAGTTTCATTTAAATTTCACTTTAATTCTTTTTATTTTTTTTGAACAATTTGGTTCTTTCATTTTATGTTCAATTTCAATTTTAGTATTTCATATAATTTTTTAGAGTTAATTACATTTTTTACCCTAAAGTTTGTTTTAAGTTTCACTTTGAATAATTTAATCCTACACTTTTAGGGATTGTTTGGGAAGTGTTAAATTAATATACTTTTTAACTTTTTATGAAAAATGTAAAATATGGATTGAGTTTAAAGTGATGTAGTAGAAATGTGATGTGACCCAAATAGGATAATGTGCTAAAATAACATAGCACATGCCAAACAAATACTAGTCTAGTTTTAATTTGGTTTTTATCTAAATTGGAAGTTAAAATTAAAGTATACTTGTCAATTTTGTTTTAATTTGGCTCTTCTATTTAAATTGGAGATTAAAATTTTAAAATTAATAATTTTAAGGCACTTGTCACTTTTTTAAAGTATGCACGTAAATAAAATTGGAAAAAATAATTCGACAAAAAGATCAAATTGAAATTAAATTTAAAGTATAAAAATTAAATTATTCAAATTAAAATTATAAGAATTAAATGAAAAGTATAATTAATCTATAAACAAGTGGAGGCTGCTTTATGTGAATCAGCTTGTGGATAATGAGCCACGACGAGCGGCCCATATAGATGGGTTTGGATCCACTTTTAGCAGAATCTGGGTCCATGTGACATGGGTGATATAGATCCACAGAAAATTTGTCCGTATTTTTGAGGAAAAGTTATTAACCGTTTGGATACTGCCTAAGTTATTTATTGGCTTATTAGTTTATTTTTATGAGCTTTTTACTGGTTGGTCCTACCTTTTACATTTATTCTCCTCTTAATCCTGAGTTTTGCTCTTGTGCACTAACAGGTCTTGAGTCTTTTTTTTTTTGGTATTGTTTTACCCCTCCCCTATTTTGGCGCGTTTCTGTTTGGATTTTCCATCAAAATATTGTGTTGTGAGTATGAGTTTGTGATTTGGATTTCTGTTGAACTTCACGATTTGCTAATGTATTATTGTGGAGCTTTGTGATTTGTGATTTCGCGCTTGTTGTATCTTCGCGATTTATGATTTGCGATTGCATGCTTGGTGAATCTTCCTATTTGCGATTTCGTGTTTGGTGTATAGTTACATTTTCTGATTTGCGATGTTGTGGAGTTAGGTCGACTAGTTTGAGTTGGTGATTTTGATTTTGTGGTGATATTGTTGTTACTCTGTTGTTTCTGTTGAGATTGAATTTGTATTTTGATCATGATATTGAAAGTTTTGAGATATGTATATGCAAAGAATTTTAGATTTTTCTTTTTTTTTTATTACGAAATTGTTTTGATTGAACACATGTGCTGGTTTGTTATTTTATACAGTGATAATTTTATCATTGAGTATTTTGGGGGTGTTGTTGGATTAACTTTTTCAACAGTGATAAATTTATCGGTGAGTATGAGAATAGGAGATGAAAAGGTTGCATAATGTAATGGTAAGATTCAAATCGAGTTACCATGTCTAATAAGTGTAAGCCATGTTCACTGTTCTTGGTCTTTGGTGGTGTTAACTGTTAAAGTTATCAGTGTTGGTTTTTGGATGTGTTTGAGTTGGTTGATAATTTTATCACTGTATTTTATTTTGTTTTAGGGTGTTTGAGTTGTTTGCTGAAATATAATTGTTGTTTGTTGCAGGATTTATAGTGATGGAGAATTGTTTGTTTCTTATGTGCAAGTTTAGAGGTGTCACATTGGTTATCAAGTATAATGATGGATTTAATTTCAAGGATTTAGTATATAAATTGTGTGCAAAGTGAAGTAAGTTAGTTGGTAGTTCTTTGAATATATCGTATTCAATGCTTGGACATTCTTGTTGTGGTCTACGAAGTGAAGAGGATTTAGAGGTTATGGTTGGACTGACACTTTCTTGTGATACTCATCGTATTGATTTTTTGTAAAGTGTTGTTCTTTGGGTGAAGGTTTTATGATTTGTGATGATGAAGATAGTAGTAGTAGCAGTGTTATTTGTGAAACTGATTTTTTGCCTTCATTTTATTTAAATCAACGTAAACCTTTGCTCTCCGATGGGTGGGTTAATTGTATAAAAGGAGTGGGACAAAGGTTTACTGAAAGAGTTGTTGAATTTCGAGATGCGTTGTCAAAGTATTCTATTCATTCCGATTTTGATTTTGATTTTGTTAAGAATGATAAGGATCATGTCACTGTTCATTGTAAGAGAATGGCTGATTTGGGATGTTTATGGAGCGTGCATGCTAGAGTGGAAAATTATAGTAAAGCTTTTGTTATTAAACAATTTGATGATGTTCATACTTGTGGATCTTCTTTTCGTACAATTAAACATGCTAGGATGACTTCAAGTATGATTGGTGGGCTAATTTCAAGTGATATTCATAATAAGGCTTTGACATCGGTTAGTGAGGTGCTTTGTGATTTCAAAGACTATTATGGAACAGAAGTTTCTTATCGGCGAGCTTGGATGGGTGTTGAAAAGGCAAAGGGTCTTGTTTTTGGTGACTATTCATCATCATTTAACGATCTTCATTGGTATGCTAATGCCGCTAATGATTGTAATCCGGGAAGTGTTTTTGATATGGAATTTGATGTTGCTAGTAAAGGAAGACATTTCAAATGCTTGTTTTTCGCTTTTGAGGCATGTATTCATGGTTTCAGGTATTGTCGGCCTGTGTTGATACTTGATGGAACTTTCTTGAAAGGAAGACACAAAGGTTGTTTATTGGCTGCTACAACAAAAGATGTTAACCAAGGTATATTCTGTGTCTATTTGTTATTATTATTGAAATAGTGATAATTCTATCATTTTTGTTACTGGAGAGTGTTGATTATTGAGTATGGTCAATCTATTAGCGATAAATTTATGTTGTATCCTTTTGTTAAAGTTTTATCTTTATACAGTGATAAATCTATCCATGGTTGGTGCTATATGTTATATACTTTGTGTTTTGATTTTCTTCTTGTAATTTTTTTTATTTGTTATTGATAACGTGTATATATATTTTGTTTGTAGGTTTATATCCGTTATGTTTTGCCATTGTTGATAGAGAAAGTTATGACAGTTGGCATTGGTTCTTGTCAAAGTTATTAGGTATTTTGACTTTGGAGAGGGATATTGCGTTTGTTACTGATCGACATGGAGGTTTGCTGAAAGCTTTAGCTAAGGTCTTTCCGTTTTCTTCACATTCTTTTTGTCTAATGCATTTGAAGACAAACTTGAAGACTTATCTGTCAGTGAAAAGTTGTGAATCTAAAGAGTATTTGCTTACTCTTGTTAGTAGATGTGCATATGCTCCTACTATTAAGTTGTTTAATGGGCTATTTGAAGAATTTAAGGGTCGTTGTGGTCGTAGTGTTGAGAAGTTTCTTGAGGATTTATCTAATGGGTGTTGGTGTAACGCTTATTTTCAAGGCAAGAGGTATGGTGAAATATGTCGGAGAGGGATATTGCGTTTATTACTGATCGACATGGAGGTTTGCTGAAAGCTTTAGCTAAGGTCTTTCCGTTTTCTTCACATTCTTTTTGTCTAATGCATTTGAAGACAAACTTGAAGACTTATCTGTCAGTGAAAAGTTGTGAATCTAAAGAGTATTTGCTTACTCTTGTTAGTAGATGTGCATATGCTCCTACTATTAAGTTGTTTAATGGGCTATTTGAAGAATTTAAGGGTCGTTGTGGTCGTAGTGTTGAGAAGTTTCTTGAGGATTTATCTAATGGGTGTTGGTGTAACGCTTATTTTCAAGGCAAGAGGTATGGTGAAATGTGCACAAATGCTACGGAATTTTTTAATTCATGGATTAGGGATGAACGCCATTTGTTTTCAACTAGTCTTGTTGATGCTATACGAGTGAAACTAATAGAGCAATTTTCAAGAAGGAGAGAAATTGGGAATAAGTGGAATCGTATTGTTTGTCGTTTTGCAGAGAAAAAATTGGAAGAAGCTTTTAATGATACAAAAGCATGGATAGTTAAGAAATGTAGCGATGACATTTATGAAATCCAATTGGATCATTCAATTATGGTTGATATTGGGAAACATTCTTGTTCTTGTCGATTGTGGAAAATTGATTATTTTCCTTGTAAACATGGTTTTTGTGCTATAAAGAGGAGTGAAAATGATCTGAATTATTTTCTTGATGATTATTATCGTGTTAGTAGTTATTGTGATTCTTGTTCACATTCTATCTATCCAGTTCCTAGTATGTAGAAGCCAAATGTAGTTGTTGATGATGACGTTGTTTTACCTCCTCTTTATAAGAGACCAGCTGGACGTCCAAGAACAGAGAGAATACCTTCTAAGAG